ATAAAACAAGTAAAATCACAGAAAAATATAAGTAATTTAAAATTTGATACACAGTTTGGAGCGCTGACATCTCCCACATTCTCTGCCTCCCGCAATCCAAAGGCTCTCCTGTATGTGTGATGCAGATGTTGCCACATGTAATCCTTGCTTTGGGTTTGCCTCAGTAAGAAGGAAACGTTCTCAAAACACTGTCATTCTTGAACTAATAGGCACGTTTGAAAAGTGATGTTTCAGAGACACAGTGACATCTACTGGATTTAGTATAACATACCTAAACCATGTATGACAGACCTAAACCAAATATAACATACCTAAACCATGTATGACATACCTAAACTAAGTTTAACATACCTAAACCAAGTATAACATACCTAAACCAAGTTTAACATACCTAAACCAAGTATAACATACCTAAACCAAGTATAACATACCTAAACCAAGTATGACGTACCTAAACCAAGTATAACATACCTAAACCAAGTATAACATACCTAAACCAAGTATGACAGACCTAAACCATGTATAACATACCTAAACCAAGTATAACATACCTAAACCGAATATAACATACCTAAACCATGTATGACAGACCTAAACCAAATATAACATACCTAAACCACCATGTATAACATACCTAAACCATGTATAACATACCTAAACCATGTATAACATGCCTAAACCATGTATAACATACCTAAACCATGTATAACATGCCTAAACCATGTATAACATACCTAAACCAAACCGTCTCCATGGGTCTATACGAGAGACTCTGGTGTAAACTCAGGAACAATGATCTCTTATTGATCCATAGTTACACATACCTAAAAAAAATTATAAATCGACATACCTAAACGAAGTATAACATACCTTAACCAAGTATAACATACCTAAATTAAGCGTAACATGCCTAAACCAATCATAACATACCTAAACCAAGAGTAACAAACCTAAAGTGAGAAAGTTTAATCGGGATTAGTTGAATCTAACACATTTTTCAATCAGAGACTTTCAGGAGATTTTGCGCAACGGTACAAACTGACAAGTAGATTTTACAGTATACATTGAATTTAGTGTATGAAACTAAGTGTATGATTATTATCATGATTTGTGGTTGAATGTTATTGTTAGGGACTTGCTAACAATAAAGCCGTAGTAGCTTCAATTGAAATTGAAACCCAGCTTCAATTGGGAGCTCTAAAAGGTTAAATGGTACAAGTTAATTGGGTGAACTGAAAACGCATGTTAGCTTAACACACCTAAAACTAACATATCAACTTACTATTTTGAGTCATGACTATAACTTCAATGCTGATGCAAGTAGTTTTTATTTGAAAAGCAAACAACGGCTGCAATAGCACATTTCCTTTGGACATTATACAAATATGAAAGTCACTAAATCAGCAGAACTCTTTTATTCAGTCATCACAGGTTTATATTCACTAAATGTGGGCAAACCGGTAGCTTTACCTCCTGGTCTCTGTATCTCTACCGAGACATTAATTCATTACATTAATGAACATTTATCTGAAAAGTAACTGTCCAAAATATAAAAACGAAATCAGCACAGAAGTAAAAGTGACTTACTTTCCACCGCTGATGAATTTATTCAACTATTAATATAAAAAGGAAATACATAAACAGCTGCGCTCCCAGCCAGGAGTTCTTCCTCCAACATGCATGTCAATAACAGGGAGAACACATGGGAATTGTTGCACTTAAAAGCATCACATGACAAAGTGCCACATAATCTGATCCCTTTTGGATGGAAAAGTAACACTGAGGTGCTGACGGGAACATTTTTCAGACCACAGTACTTTAAGTCCTAAAAAATGCTTTCTACGTGACCACTGAACAATGATTCAACATTTATTGTGGCCCAAGTACCGTATCTACTTTGTGTTCATTGTGATTTGCATAACCTCAGTGGTTGTATTTACTGTAAATCAGTTATTTGTGTGTTGTAATCCCCCCGGGGACCTTTCCAAAGCAGAGACCCTCCGCTTGGCTTTAGGTGGTGCAACAGTTCAAATGCAAACTAATTAACTGCACCGCGCACTTCTCTCTTCTTATTTTCTACCACATGACACTCATCACTATCCAGCCTCCCTTACAAATGGTCTCTCTCAGATCCCCTCGTTGTAGATTCACAGGAATGCTCTTTGGCCCTGGTGGGGTTCTTGAAGTTGCCTGCGTGGACGGGTGGGGTTTAAGGCCTGGGTTAGTTGGGGTGAACAGAAGGGGGAGTTGGGGGTCAGTGTGCAGTGGTAGTGCTCTCTGTTCATAATAAGATTAGAGGTTGACCTGCCCACCCCCCCCTGAACAGAGCCAGAACGCCTCAAAATGTTCTCTTAGCTAGCGAAACTGCTAGCCAGCTGTCACACGAAACGCGACGGTCCGTTACACCACGACTTCCAAGCGTTTAAAGTCAGTTGGAGACAAGACTTCTGCACAATGTGCCCAATTTTAGCATTAGCATACAGCTAAAATCTGTCACATGGCCGTCGGCTAGAAAAGAGACGCACAGCTTTGTTTAAAACGTGGTTTAAAATACAGTTATAGTAAACTGTATAATTATAATGGGGCACTGTCATTCAGAGAAGCATTTGGCATAGCGGTTACTATTCCAAAAACAAGCATCAAATGTATATCAAGTTGAGTCAAAAACATTTACTTGAGATGCCTTTGTCATGTAATGTTAAATATTTTAAAACAGTTATAAAGTTATAAAACAACCTCAAGATTTCCTGTCAGCAGGCACATTGTGTGTTATTTCGAATGACTTACTG